TGATAAAACAAAAGAAATTTAGGTGTGAAAGCTGCAAGATGAAATGTATGAACCAAATGGAGATACCATGTATTTAAGTGGAAGAACAAACCCAAACACAACAATACCAAAATATGAAACCAGGACGTTGACAGCAGATGACAGGCCCTTCCCCGTGGAATGAGCAGCAGCACAGGCCTACAGATCCTCGTCACCAGGGGTGGAGCCTCCGCCAGGGTTACAGGTGCGCACTCTGGACTTGCCTCACTGGATCAATAGGTGGTGGTGTCTTCATTGATCAGGTTGCTTTAGAACCCATTTTCATAAATGGCAGGACCCCAACAGATATCATGAAGTATTTCACTGGAAAACTGTGGGTCCCACTACATTTACCAGGTTATCTCTATGTACCTCAAAAATTCAGGGGTCTGCAAGAATTACTCAAATTCTACCTGCACAGAGCAGAGGACTACAACCCATGAACGATAGTCCACCACAAGAATATTTCTTGGGGATGGCACTGTGCTGTAGCAAGTAAAGCCTCTACCTGCAGTGCCAGCATCTCATAAGAGCACTGGCTTGAGTCCCCACTGCTCCACTTGTGATCCAGCTCTCTGCTATGGCCTAGGAAAGTGGAAGATGGCCCAAGTGCTTCACCCCTGCACCCATGTGGGAGACCCGGAAGAAGCTCCTGGCTCCTGGCTCCAGGATCAGCTCAGCTCTGGCCTTTGCGGTCATCTGGGGAGTGAACCAGCAGACAGAAGACCTCTCTGTCTCTCTCGCTTGCTTGCTCTCTCGCTCTGCCTCTGCCTTTCAAATACAGAAATAAATATTAAAAAATCGTTCTTTCCCCATTTGACACTCACGTCATCTTCCACAGTTATCAGATGGGAAAATCAAGCAATGCGCTTGATTATCATAGGAGGGGTTACCAATCACATAGAACTCAGTGTTTGTGAAGCAGCAATTTTCAGTTTAACATGATATGTTAGAAAATGTTTACAAAGTTTAAATGTCTTTGAAAGCAGCACTCTGAAAACTACAGATGTGCCAATTCACTGAAGGGTTTCCCGACTCCATGCCTGTTCCCTCACTAGAGCACTTCAGTAGAAAGCTCTAAAATATTTGCAATACTGAACTGCAAGTCACAGTTTGAGTTTTCCCACTCATAATTATTGAGGCCTACATAACTCACAAACAAAATTGTACAAAGGTGAAGCAAAGGCATTGTTCGTAGCTAACTCTCCATCTAGTTTTCCCCCAAAGATCTGACTTCAGTTAAACAGAGGTAAGTAAAGCATTTTAAGACGGATGGCGTAAACTGCTTGAATTCTGGAATTTCCCCAGAAAGTTTCTGTATTTTAACCTCCTATTAGTAGTGTACTAGTAGTTGCTAGCCTAGGATTCTTGTGGGAGATGATAAAGTTTTATGGTGGTCACAGGAGAAGAGGTGTGGAAAAGGTGACGGAATTGAGAGGCATAAAAGCAAAAAGCAAAAGAATCACATACTCATGTGGCTTTGAGAAGGGTGTAGGGACCAGCCAGCCTTTGAAATGCATGGTGACTGTTATCAGAGAACATCTGTGGATTGGAAGAATGAGAAAACAAAAGAACAGATTTTTCTTGGTTTGTTGTGCGTGAGGGAAAAGAATTATGGAATCAAGGAGTCAAGTTTGAAAACAGCCAAAAGGAGAAAACCATGGGAAATACAAACAGTCTAGCTAATGATGGGAGAAAAATCCAAGACCCACAGTACAGAGACAAGGCTGTCTAGGATGAGAAGACCAGTGAGAACAAAAACTTGGACTTAACCTGGGGCCATGTCCACTTCTGGGTTTGAACAGTCAGCACTAACAGGAGCACCAAGAGTGGATAACGAGGAGACTGGAACACCCATGAGGACGTGCACCAAGGGGCTGTTTCTTCACAGTCCCTGGTCAGCATCTCCTAGGATGAGGATCAAGGAACGACCCTTGGGTGTCAACACCAGCAACTGCTAACCAGCAGGAAGGAAGACTCAATTCACCACACACTGTAAGAGCCAAACCACAAAACACAATACCTACGGATTTTGAAATTTTGTGTTGTTTGAAACACAGGGACAAATAGGGATATCATTTCATCAACCGAAGTTTTAGAACCAATTATATGGCAACCATTGTGGATACTATGTAGAAACAATGCCCCTGCTCTCTCAGAAATAAAAGTGATCAAAAAATATCATAATCCAAATGATTTCAATATTTCAAAATCTAATTTAGGGGGCCAGCGTTGTGGTATAGTGGGTTGGCGCCCTGGCCTGAAGTGCCCACATCCCATATGGGCACGGGTTCAAGACCCAGCTGCTCCACTTCTGATCCAGCTCTCTGCTATGGCCTGGGAAAGCAGTGGAGAATGGCCCAAGCCCTTGGGCCCCTCCACCCATGTGGGAGACCCAGGGGAAGCTCCTGGCTTCAGATTGGCACAGCTCCGGCCATTGTGGCCATCTGGGGAGTGAACCATTGGATGGCCTCTCTCTCTCTGCCTCTCCTCTCTCTGTGTAACTCTGACTTCCAAATAAACAAATAAATCTTTTAAAAAAATCTAATTTAGAAGTAAAAAGAACCTGTATGCAGTTATTCAGAACCTTATAGTTTTTTTTTTTTTTTTTTGACAGGCAGAGTGGACAGTGAGAGAGAGAAACAGAGAGAAAGGTCTTCCTTTGCCGTTGGTTCACCCTCCAATGGCCGCCGCGGCCAGCGCGCTGCGGCCGGCGCACCGCGCTGATCCGATGGCAGGAGCCAGGAGCCAGGTGCTTTTCCTGGTCTCCCATGGGGTGCAGGGCCCAAGCACCTGGGCCATCCTCCACTGCACTCCCTAGCCACAGCAGAGAGCTGGCCTGGAAGAGGGGCAACCGGGACAGAATCCGGCGCCCCAACCGGGACTAGAACCCAGTGTGCTGGCGCCGCTAGGCGGAGGATTAGCCTAGTGAGCCGCGGTGCCGGCCTCAGAACCTTATAGTTTTATAACTGCAACAAATGTACTTAGAATTAATTTTGATTTATCAAAATTTTGGTGCCATCCTCTGATCTAGCTGCCTCTGATGATAGAGTCCCCATATTCCTAGTTAATGCAATAATATGACTGGGATATGTAAATTTTACTTGATATGCCTCCTGATATAATCACATTCATTTTTTTTCTAACTCTGCCTGTCAAAAAAAAGAGAGAGAAAAAAAGATAGACACAAAATAGATGATGATTATATATTGTGTTAAATAAAATGATTGAGAATAGGGAGGGAGCACAATGAAGGTCCAGGAAGGGAAAGTTCAAAGAGGGGTGAGAATCTGTAGTTTTGAGGAGACAGAGTGGACACGTGAGAAGGACGTGGACGCCTGAGGCGCAGGACACCAGCAGGAGTGTGTACGCACCAGCGCTGGAAGCCGAGGTGAGACTGGGGCACTCATCCAGCACAACGGCAACAGCCGCCGCCGCCGCCCCTCCCCCAACTCACCCTGGGACGGACACTGAGACACACACGACTGAGTAGGGGAGGAAATAGAAAACGGAACAGAGTGAGTGGCGCCTGTGGAAAGAGTACGTGATTCAGGGGTACTAATTGAGAGACTGAGTAAGCCAGTATGTCTTGGCGCCCTCGGAGCTGCAGCGGGCAGGAAGCAGCCATTTTGTCTGTTTACATTCGGGCTTAAAGGAGAACTGTCCTTGCCTCGACACTAACCTTCGGAGGCGGAGCCCAAAGGTGGAGCGAAGCAACAGGACACTTCTTGCGCAGGGGCGGGCATCGAGAGAGGGCAGCTCAAAGACCTGACACCCGTCTACTCGAGTTACAAGAAGAAAAAAAAATTGAATAGTGCCTGCGGGGAGAGGGGGGGAGGGCAGGATCCAGAGCTGCAGCGGGCAGAGAGCAGCCATCCTGTCTGTTTACGTTTGGGCTGAGTAGAGCAGCCTGCTTACACTGGATATTGGTACAAACTCACAGCAGCCTATAGCAGAGGGAAATCAACCTGAAAAACCACCCAGACAGAATGCCAAAAAACAAAACAAAAACCCACAATAAGAATATAGAAGAACATAGAAACTTGCCAATGGAGCAGGCTAAACCAACCATAACAGAGGTTGAAGAAGAAGAAGTTGAAACCATGCCAGAAAAAGAATTCAGAAAATTAATAATCAGAATACTTAGAAATAATGAGAAACAGTGTCAAGAGCTGAATGAAAAACAAGCCCAAGGATTAGAGATCCTAAAGAGAAGCCAGAATGAAATACTAGAACTGAAAAACTCAATTGACCATATGAAAAACACCATGGAATCCCTCGGAAATCGAACAGATGAAATAGAAGACCGAATATCAGAATTTGAAGACAAACTTCCAGAAATAATACAGTCAGTTCAATCGCAGGAAGAAGAAATTAAAAAATTAAAAAATACGGTCGGAGACCTACAAGATTCAATCAAACAGAGTAATGTTCGGATAATAGGAGTCCCTGAGGGGGTAGAAAGAGAGAATGGATTGGAAGGTGTCTTCAACGAAATAATATCAGAAAACTTCAAACAAAGGCAGCTGGATAACAACACACAAATACAACAGATAGCCAGGACTCCGAACAGAGTAGACCAGAAGAGAAATTCACCACGACACATTGTGGCAACACTCAGTTCAGTGACACACAAAGAACAAATCCTAAAATGTGCCAAAGAAAAGCGACAAATCACATTCAGGGCTAAGTCAATCAGACTCACCCCAGACTTCTCATCGCAAACACTACTGGCAAGGAGACAGTGGCATGATATATTTCAAGTTTTAAAAGACAAACAATGCCAACCTAGAATACTATATCCTGCAAAGCTATCATTTATGAATGAAGGGGAAATAAATATCTTCCAAGACAAACAGAAACTGAAAGAATTTGTATCCACGCGTCCAACCCTACAACACTTGCTCAAAGACGTGCTGCACACAGAAATACAAAAACAAGAACTTCACTGCAAAAAAAAACGAATGTAGAGTAACCCACAAAGTTCAAAATACATAAGCAGCTCGTTTCAGGAAACATGAAGGGGAAAAGACAGTACTTAACAGTAATCACATTGAATGTGAATGGTCTTAATTCCATGACAAAGAGACATAGACTAGCTGATTGGATAAAGAAAGAGAATCCAACTATATGCTGCCTTCAGGAGACACACCTAATCAGCAAAGATGCACACAGACTGAAAGTGAAAGGATGGAAAAAGATACTTCAAGCTAATGGAAATCAAAAAAGAGCTTGTGTGGCCATCCTAATATCAGACAAAATAGACTTTAACATAAAAACTATTAAAAAAGACAGAGAAGGGCACTATATAATGATTAAAGGATCTATCCAACAGGAAGACATTACTATTATAAATGTATACGCACCTATATACAGGGCGCCTGGCTACCTGAAAGAATTACTAAAGGATTTAAAGGGAGATACAGACTCAAATACAATAGTAACAGGGGACTTCAACACCCCACTCTCACCAATGGACAGATCTACCAGACAGAAATTCAATAAGGAAACAACTGAGCTAATTGGTGCCATAGACCAAATAGACCTAATAGATATCTTCAGAACCTTCCACCCCACAGACACAGAGTTCACGTATTTCTCCCCAGTACATGGAACATTCTCTAGCATTGACCATATGCTTGGCCATAAAGGGAGCCTCAACAAATTCAAAAAAATTGAAACTATACCATGCAGCTTCTCAGACCATAGCGCAGTGAAACTCGAAATCAACAACCCAAGAATCTCTACAGCATATGCAAATATATGGAGAATGGACAACATGATCCTAAATGAACAGTGGGTCATCGAAGAAATTAAAAGAGAAATCAAAAGATTTCTAGAAACAAATGAAAATGATAACACAACCTATCAAAACCTGTGGGACACAGCAAAAGCAGTGCTAAGAGGAAAGTTTATAGCAATTAGTGCCTACATCAAGAAGCTGGAAAGGAACCAAACAAATGAACTCTCCATGCACCTCAAGGATTTAGAAAAACAGCAGCAAATCAAGCCCAAATCCAGAAGGAGGAAAGAAATACTAAAGATCAGAGAAGAAATAAACAGAATTGAAACCAAAAAAAAAAAAAACCAATACAAAAGATCAACAAAACCAGGAGCTGGTTCTTTGAAAAAATAAAACAAAATCGACACACCATTGGCCCAACTAACCAAAAAAAGGAGAGAGAAGACCCAAATCTGTAAAATCAAAGATAGTAATGGAAATGTAACAACAGACACAACAGAAATAAAGAGAATCATCAGAAACTACTACAAAGAGATGTATGCTAACAAATTGGGGAACCTGGAAGAAATGGATACATTCCTGAACAAATACAACCTTCCTAAACTGAGCTGTGAAAATACAGAAAATCTAAACAGACCCATAACCATGGAAGAAATTGAATTGGTAATAAACGCATTACCGAAAAAGAAGAGCCCAGGACCGGATGGCTTCACTGCCAAATTTTACCAGACATTTAGAGAACAACCAACCCCAGTTCTTCTCAAATTGTTTAAAACAATTGAAAGAGAGGGAATCCTTCCAAATTCTTTCTACGAAGCCAATATCACCTTAATTCCTAAGCCCGGAAAAGACACAACAGACAAAGAAAACTACAGACCTATCTCCCTGATGAACATACATGCAAAAATACTCAACAAAATTCTGGTAAACCGAATCCAACTATACATCAGAAAGATCATTCACCCGGACCAAGTGGGATTTATCCCTGGTATGCAGGGATGGTTCAATATTCGAAAGTCAATCAATGTAATACATCACCTTAATAAATTGAGAAACAAAAATCATATGGTTATCTCAATAGATGCAGAGAAAGCATTTGACAAAATACAACACCCTTTCATGATGAAAACCCTAAGCAAATTGGGTATAGAAGGAACATTCCTCAACACAATTAAGGCAGTCTATGATAAACCAAAGGCCAGCATCATATTGAATGGGGAAAAGTTGGAGGCATTTCCATTGAAAACCGGCACCAGACAGGGATGCCCACTCTCACCATTGCTATTCAATATAGTCCTAGAAGTGTTAGCCAGAGCCATCAGGCAAGAAAAAGAAATTAAAGGGACACAAATGGGAAAGGAGGAAGTTAAACTATCCCTATTTGCAGATGACATGATACTATATATAGGGGACCTGATAAACTCCTATAAGAGACTATTGGAACTCATAGAAGAGTTTGGTAAAGTAGCAGGATACAAAGTCAACACTCAGAAATCAACAGCCTTTGTATACACAGACAATGCCAGGGACGAGGAAGAACTACTAAGATCAACCCCATTCACGATAGCCACAAAAACAATAAAGTACCTTGGAATAAATTTAACCAACGAGGTCAAAGACCTCTATGATGAAAATTACAAAACACTAAAGAAATAGAAGACGACACAAAAAAATGGAAAAACCTGCCATGCTCATGGATTGGAAGAATCAATATCATCAAAATGTCCATTCTCCCAAAAGCAATTTACAAGTTCAATGCAATACCAATCAAAATACCAAAGTCATTCTTCAAAGACCTAGAAAAAATGATGCTGAAATTCATATGGAGAAACAGGAGACCCAGAATAGCTAAAGCAATCCTTAACAATGAAAACAAGGCCGGAGGCATCACAATTCCAGACTTCAAGGCATACTACAGGGCAGTTATAACCAAAACAGCCTGGTACTGGTACAAAAACAGATGGATAGACCAATGGAACAGAATAGAAACACTGGAGATCAATCCAAACATCTATAACCAACTCATATTCGACAAAGGACCTAAAACCAACCCCTGGAACAAGGACAGCCTCTTCAACAAATGGTGCTGGGAAAACTGGATGTCCACATGTCGCAGTATGAAGCAAGACCCCTACCTTACACCTTATACAAAAATCCACTCAACATGGATCAAAGAACTAGAGATGCGCCACGACACCATGAAACTAATTGAGAGCATAGGGGAAACCCTTCAAGATATCGGAATAGGCGAAGAATTCCTGGAGAAGACCCCACAGGCACAGGTAATCAAAGATAAAATAAACAAATGGGATTACCTCAAATTGAAGAGTTTCTTAACAGCAAAGGAAACAGTCAGGAAAGCGAAGAGGCAACCAACAGAATGGGAGACGTTATTCGCAAACTACACAACAGATAAAGGATTAACAACTAGAATCTACACAATGATCAAAAAACACCACAGAATCAAAACAAACAACCCAGTAAAAAAAATGGGCCAAGGACCTTAACAGACATTTTTCAAAAGAGTAAATCCAAATGGCCAACAGACACATGAAAAAATGCTCAGGATCCCTAGCCATCAGGGAAATGCAGATCAAAATCACAATGAGATTCCACCTCACTCCGGTTAGATTGGCTTACGTACAGAAATCAACCAACAACAGATGCTGGTGAGGATGTGGAGAAAAAGGGACACTAATCCACTGTTGGTGGGAATGCAAACTGGTAAAGCCACTATGGAAGACAGTCTGGAGAATCCTCAGAAACCTGAATAAAGCACTACCACAGGACCCAGCCATCCCACTCCTTGGAATATACCCAAATGGAATTAAAGGGGAGAAAAAAGTCATTTGCACCTCAATATTTGTTGCAGCTCAATTCACAATAGCTAAGACATGGAATCAACCTAAATGTCCATCAATGGATGACTGTATAAAGAAACTATGGGAAATGTACTCTATGGAACACTATACAGCAGTAGAAAACAATGAAATCCGGGCATTTACAACAAAATGTAGGAAGCTGGAAAACATCATGCTGAGTGAAATAAGCCAGTCCAGAAGGGACAAATATCATATGTTCTCCCTGATCGATGGCAACTAAACGAGCATCTAAAATGATACCCATTGAAGTGAAATGGACACTATGAGAGACAATGACATGAGCAGCCCTTGTCTAGACTGTTGAGGAACAACTTACTATTTTGTTCCTTTAGTATTTTTGTTGTTGTTGTTGCTCAGTTTGCTCTACACAAGACCACTGGTTGAACTCTGTAATCAATGCACAACCATTCTTAAGCGTTTAAAAATTAACAGAAAATTGATCTCTGTGAAACATAGGAGTGGGAATAAGAGAGGGAGGAGATATATAGGATGACACATACTCACTCAGACCTACCTCCAATGGTGGAACTAGAAATGTGCCAGGGGATTTCAGCTCAACCTTACCAAGGAGGCAGGTACCAATGCCAGCACACTTGGTAAAGTGATAAGTATAAATACACAACCAATCCAAAAGATAGAATAGTGTCGAAGAGATTACACAAATAAGACCAGTGTAAGCAAATAATGAAGGATAGAATCAAAAGGGAGAGAATGATCCTGCGGGGGGAAGCAGGACACACAGCAGACTCATAGAATGGCAAATGCCCAAAACAGCACTCCTGCCTCAGAATCAACCCTTGGGACATTCAGATCCAACTAAGAGGTCCATGAGAGTCTCACAGGCATGGAAAGACATGACACGGTGGCAAAAAACAATCTAAATGAAAGATCTTGGTGAACAAGACCCCAGCAGAAGGATCAGGCCATCAACGAGAGAGGCGCCTTTCTCTGAAGGGAGGAAGGAACCTCCACCGTGATACGGCCTTGACTAAACAAATTCAGAGTCGGTGAACTCAAGGGGCTTCCATAGCCCAGACAGCTCATAGCAACAGTCTCGGGTGATTGCTGACATCATAAATAAGAGTGCAAATTGTTAAATCAACAACGGAAGTCACTGGGTTCATGCTCCCCACGTAGGATCTCTGTCCTTAATGTGTTTAACTATGAAACTCAAAAACAACACTACTAGTCGAACAATACCCTATACCTGGTTCGGTTGTGTGAGTGCAGCCTGTTGAAATCCCTGCTCAGTATATACTAAGTTGATCTTCAGTATATGAAGGTAATTGAAAATGAAACGTGATGAAGGGCAGGATGGGAGAGGGAGTGGGAGAGGGGAGGGCCACGGGAGGGAGGGAGGTTAGGGGGGGAAGCCACAACAATACAAAAATTGCATTTTATATTCTACTTAAAACTATTGGATGAACTCTGTAATTAATACACAATTACTCTTAGGTGTTTAATTAATGCTATAACTAGTACTCAAACAGTATTTTACACTTTGTGTTTCTGTGTGGGAGCAAAATGTGGAAATCTTTACTTAATATATGCTAAATTGATCTTCTGTATATAAAGATAATTGAAAATTAATCTTGATGTGAGGGGAAGGGGAGAGGGAGTGGGAGAGGGGAGCGTTGTGGGTGGGAGGGAAGTTACGGGGGGGAGGAAGCTATTGTAATCCATAAGCTGTACTTTGGAAATTTATGCTCATTAAATAAAAAAAAGAAATTAAAATAAATAAATAAATAAATAAAATGATTGAGTTGGGATTCTAGGAAGCAGCGGTATTTGAGGAAGGCCTGGGAAGATGGGTAGAGGTAGGAGTATGTGTAAGAAAAATTAAGATCAAAATCATATTGCATGCAGCCTCAGGACACTGACAATCTTATACAGTTATGGGCTGCTTTAATGATAGACATTTTGAGAAATGCATCACTAGGCAGTATTGTCATAATGTGAACATTTCATAGAATGTACTTATACAGACTTACATTGCTTAACCTGGTACACGCCAAGGCTATGTGATACAGCAACCATTCTATATATGGTCTTTTGTTGGTCAAATATTGTTTTATGCCACGTGACTGTACTTTTGCTTTTTTAAAAAACTTTTATTTAATGAATATAAATTTCCAAAGTACAGCTTATGGATTACAATGGCTTCCCCTCCCATAACTTCCCTCCCACCTGCAAATCTCCCCTTTCCTGCTCCTTCTCCGCTTCCATTTACATCAAGATTCATTTTCCTTTCTCTTATATACAGAAGATCAGTTTAGCATACATTAAGCAATGATTTCAACAGTCTGCACCCTCATAGAAACACAAAGTGAAAAATACTGTTTGAGTACTAGTTATAGCATTAAATCACAATGTACAGCACTTTAAGGACAGAGATCCTACATAAGGAGTAAGTGCACAGTGACTCTTGTTGTTGACTTAACAAATCGACACTCTTGTTTATGGCATCAGTAATCTCCCTAGGCTCTTGTCATGAGTTGCCAAGGCTATGGAAGCCTTTTGAGTTCACTGACTCTTATCATATTTAGACAAGGTCATAGTCAAAGTGGAAGTTCTCTCCTCCCTTCAGAGAAAGGTACCTCCTTCTTTGATGACCTGTTCTTTCCACTGGGATCTCACTCGCGGAGATCTTTCATTTAGGTCATTTTTTTTTGCCAGAGTGTCTTGGCTTTCCATGCCTGAAATACTCTCATGGGCTTTTCAGCTGGATCCGAATGCCCTAAGGGCTGATTCTGAGGCCAGAGTATAACCACGATTCATTAACACAATAGAACAATGTATTCCTCAGGAACTTTTTCATAAAATTAGGGGAATCACTGGTTATCACAGAGGAAGAATTAGAATCCAGTGGGGCAATGACAACAATATACAGCCATCTTTTTGGGTTTCCCAGTCAATGCTATTACTGCTGTGTGTTGGAGAACCTTCAACGTGAACTGGAATAAACTATCTTAGCAAATTAGGGAAAAACAGGAATCAAAGCCTGTGAGCGGGAACTTCCTTCCTAGATGCCTGGATCCATCTTCCCAGCTCCTGTCCACTGAGTAGAACTATAAATTCAGAAAACAACACAAGAAACCTGGAAATTACCAGAGTCGCTGGGCATCTAAATCGCCCACCCAGGAGATGATGACTCACCTGCTGTTTCCCCCACCCTGGCATGAGAATTCAGCCAGGCAGGCCATTCCTTCTGGAACTATATGTGATACCTCCAGGCAAATATATGTTTTACAATATACAATTTAAATCTATTTAGAACCTATGGTATGAAAGTTATACTCTGTAATAAAAATTTATAATACAATATGTAATATTCAATTTATAAAATACAATATAATGCACAATTTTTTCTTCCTTCCCCCTGGCTCCTGAAGGCCCAAGTGTCTCCTGTCTGTGGCCAGGGCCGGCATATGATACGCACAAACATTTCAAGAAGACTCACCAGGAGAGGATGGTCAAACCTGAGGGTCCTGTTGAATCCATTGCCACTCCTCCGACACCAGCAGCCCGGCCTTTCCTGCAGGTATTGCTCTTGGCTGCTCACCTCCTTGTTCTAAGGCTTAGAACCAGGGCTCAGCATATGTTCCAACAAAGAACTCCACAAAGCTGGACACCACGAAGAGAAAAGGGAAACAGCAGCACTGAGCACCCTTTTTATAAACTCAGTATTCAACGGCATGCATCAGTTCTGACTGGATTACCTTCAGGTGCCCACCAATCAGAAACCAAAGACCAAGCCTGCACAGGCTTGCACAGGGGGTGTGGCTCCAGGTTTTTCCTGAGCTCCTGCTGTGTGTCCCAAGTAGACAGGGAGGCCAGGCTCCAGTGCGGTGGGGCCACAGCTCAGTTGTTTGCTTCAGTTTTGCCATGGAATTTATTCTACCATTTGATTTAAAATTTGACAAAGTGTTTCTCAGTACATACTTATCTGATTTTCTCCCTAGAGTGTTCAAATAAAGTGAAATTGCTTTCATAGGACTCAAGCATTGAGAATGGTTTTTGTTTTTCAATTACCGTATTACAGAAAGAAAACATTACAGGTGGTGGTTTAGCCCACTGCACCACAACACTAGCCCCTACCCACAGAATTTTAGAGGCAGAACGATTCAGAAAATAGATGGTGTCATATGTGGAAGGAATGAAAATGTATAGTTTTGGTAAGTCTGAATGATTTTTATTGAAGAAAGCAAGAAAACACAAAGGTATTTCAACTAGGTGATGAGGACTCAGATACGCCACAAATGACTCATTTAGCAGCATTGTTACTGCTGCTGGATCTTTTCCTCTAACAACTGGTTTAGACACTTGCTTTAAATATGTGGCCAGCTTTGGAAAGCTGGAAATATTGATGCCAAGCAGATGTGAGATAAAATTTAAAACAGAGGCATACCAGTTAGAATCACAGCCTAGACCTAATTCTAGTGCTTACCTCTTGGCGATAGTTGGAAATCATAAACTATGTAAGTAAGAAAACACCATCTCCACCTCCAGATTCCACGTTAAGCACCATGTGCACCGACCAACAATGCTTTACTCCCTCCTCCTTAATAAAAAAAAGAATAAAAATAAGTCTATGATTGCTGCACTATATTTATAAGATACCTCTGCTTAATGATATATCAGTAAATAAAATATTCCAAGGTTTTATAATAATTCTAAGAGGTTTCTAACTCAGAGGAAGTTCCAGGAGGCAAGGTTAGGCCTGTCTTTGTCTCTAGAAAAGTGGGCAACCCCTCAGGGCCCCAGTTGTTCCCCTGTGAGGGGACTCAAAAACACATGAGTGAGCAATATTGGAAAGTCACAAGTTCAGGGAGTGTACTAACAGAACCCTACCAACCATCTAAATGAAAGGAGAACCATCATGCAGACATTGTATGGACACCACACCACCTGTGGGTAAGGCTTCCCAGGTGTGTACAGCACTATCCCTAGAAATGACAGTCACAGAGCATAACAGTGCCCACAGGGAGCACTAATCCTCCGCCTGCAGTGCTGGCACCCTGGGTTCTAGTCCCAGTTGGGGCGGCGTATTCTGTCCCGGTTGCCCCTCTTCCAGGCCAGCTCTCTGCTGTGGCCAGGGAGTGCAGTGGAGGATGGCCCAAGTGCTTGGGCCCTGCACCCGTATCAGAGACCAGGGGAAGCACCTGTCTCCTGGCTTCGGATCGGCGCAGCGCGCTGGCCATAGTGACCATTTGGGGGGCGGTGAACCAATGGAAAAAGGAAGACCTCTCTCTCTCTCTCTTTCTCTCACTGTCTGACTCTGCCTGTCCCAAAAAAAAAAAAAAAAAAAAAACGTGGAAGGAGGAAAAAGATTCAAACGGAAATAAATCCAACGGAATACAAAATACCGCAACAGAAATTCAGTGAGACCAAAATACAGTTCTTGAAAACTCAGTGAAACGGACAAAACGTTTATCCACAGGAAACAAGGGAAAAAAGGGAACAGACTCAAGTGATGTAACAACAGAAATGACAAAGAGGGCACGACTACCTACCTTACGAAAATAATCATCAGAAAACACTATGGAAAAGCCAAGGCACAAGAATCTGCTCACCGTCGATACAGTGTGGACTGATTCTCAGAAAGACACAAACCGCTAAAATGGACTCCAGTACAACTAGGAACTCTGAATATACTTATAATTTGAAGAGAGGCTGCACATGAAGAGAACGCCAGTACCAGATGGCTCCACCGGTGAGAACTCCCATTGAAAGGATAATTAAAATCCGCTATTTGCACACCCTTCCAAAAAGGAGATGAAGAGGAAAGACTTTCCTTTTTACTCCATCAGACCAGCATTATCCCAACATCCAAACACACACACCATACAGAAAATGGCACATAAATATCCGTCGTGAATGTGTCCCATTCCTCAACAAAATATGACCCAATGCGATCCGGTAGCACAAGCAAAGCTTAGCACACTGTGCGCAGCCGAGAGTTACTACGGGAATGCAAGGATGGCTACCATGCAAAAGCAATACATCCCAGAACAGAATCCACCTGGGAAAAGCCCACCAAGTATCCCTACAGACACGGAACACCTATGTCACAAAACCGTCATTACTTTCTGCGATATTAAAAAAATAAAATCCTCAAATTAGGAACGGAAGGTACACCCCGGCCTGACAAGGCTCTTCCATGAAAAACCCACAGAGCGCTAACAGCACAGCACACGCGAGGACCCGAAACTGTCCCCCTAGACCAGGACGCAGACACGCACGTCGCTCTCGTTCCTCCCGCCCACCCTCTCAGAGCTCTAGCGCAGGGCGGCTGGGCCCTCCAAAAGCAAACAGACGGGAATGCGGGCCGTTCCGGGAGGAGACCGAGCCACCTCCGCTCTCGCACAGCTGCTCGCACCCCGGGGACCCTTCCAGACCCTCCGCACAGCGACCGCGACTCCACCCGCGCCGCCTCCGGGACCCGAGAGCAAGGGCACGCCGGCAGCCAAGACCCGCAGCGGGACACCGCAACAGCGCGCCTCGCTCACCTCCAAGGGGCCGGTCTGCTGGAGGCACAGAGGCCCGCCAAGGCCGTTGCTTCCGGAAGGGGCCGAAGAAGAGAACCGCGCCTGGCAAACGGCGCAGCAGCCTCAACACGCAGCCTCCCCTGATCCCGGCCTGACCCGGGGCCGCTGGGTCTCCCTCAGGCTCAGGCTCGGCCAGCGGCATTGGGGGCAGCTCCTCTCCTCACGGCTCAAGCAGAATCTCGGGCAACAGCGGATGCCGGGCTGACTCCCACCTGAGCGCCCGCGGGGCAGTCAGGGCCACGCGTGCGTGCGTGCGAGTGCACTTCCGGGGCAAAGTGCCAGGCGCAGGCGCACTGCCCTCTGGCCGTCGCCATGGCGCCACGGGACGCATCTGCGCACTGCAGCATCCAGCGTCTGAAGCCACAGGACGCTTCCAGTCCCGCCTCTCCAGTGTGACCCAGGGAGGCAGCCGTCACCGATGGCCCAGGTACTCTGGCCCCTGCCTCCCTCCCTGCCTCCTGGGAGTCCTGAATGGAGCTCCTGCTTCCTGGCTTCTGCCTGGCCCAGCGCTGGCCGTCAAAGCTGCTTGGGGAGAGAGGCAGTGCCGGGGGCATCACCAGCACTCTTTCTCTCTGTGAGTGAGTGAGTGATCGTCCATGTGGGGATTCACCCCCCAGGTGGCTACAAAGGCTGGGTCTGGGACAGGCTGAAGCACAAGCCAGGGACTTTAGCCGCTGCTCCATTCTGGGTTCAGGGGCCTGAGTCCTTGGGCCGTCTCCCTCTGCTTTCCCAGGCCTGTTAGCAGAGAGCTGTACCCCACGGGGAATGGCTTCCAGGAGGGTGGGCACTGTGAGGTAGCGGGTAAAGCCACCGCCTGCAGTGCCGGCATCCCATATGGGCGCCAGTTCGAGTACGGCTGCTCCACTTCCGATGCAGCTCTCTGCTGTGGTCTTGGCAGGCAGCAGAAGATGGGCTAAGTCCTTGGTCCCCTGCACCCAAGAGGAGACCCCGGCAAGGCTCCTGGCTCCTGGCTCCTGGCTCAGATCCACTCAGCTCCACCCACTGCAGCCAGTTGGGTAGTGGACCAGGAGATGGAAGACTCTCTCTCTCTCTCTCCATCTCTCTCTTTCCTCCCTCCAACTTTGACTTTCAAAATAACTAAATGTTACACACACATGTACAAAGTTCATGGAAATGAAATGAAAAGATAAACTGGTGGGGAGGGCATTTGGCAAAGTGGTTAAGATGCCGCTGGGGACACCACTTTCTGTATCAAGAGAACCTGGGTTCAAATCCCAGCTGCAAACTCCAGCTTTCTGCTAAAGCAGATCCTGGATGGTAACAGGTGATGAATCAAATGAATGGGTTTCTGCTACCCACAGGGAAACCTGGATTGAGTTCTTGGTTCCCAGCATTGGCATGGCCCAGTCCCAGCTGTCATAGGCATTTGGGGAGTGAACCAGCAGATGGCAGTACTTTCTTTCTCTCTCTCCCTATCTCTACCTCTCAAACTAAAAAATAAAAGAATAAAAATGGACTTGGGTGCAAAAAATTTTTGAAATCCAATTATAGTTTTTCAAGGATACATTTTTCACGAGCTTTTGCATGCTCCTCATCTATATACAGATACACAAACACAAAAGAGAAGAAAAATGCCCTTATTTTTAATATGTGTGGCAGGATTATTAAAAAGTTGATCCTGAATTTCCAAAATAATGGGCACATAAAGCTCTTGGGATCAAAGATAAAATGCACACATTTAAAAAAAATTTTAAGAGCCATCTCCCAATCTTGAGTTCCAAAGAGAACCTTAAAGAGAATTGGTTCAATCTTTCCTGAAACCACAGAGCAGGATTCGATGCCGCATGGAAGAAACCACTTGGACGTTCAAGGGAGAACTGGATTGGCTGTTTTCTATCTGCCCAAGCAGGGACATGCATGCAAAGCCAGGAGGACCCCATTCTCTAAGGCTCCTGCTTGGGTGAAAGGCCCTGAATCAGGCAATGCAGAGAGCAGAGGCTGTAGACCAGCTGCCCACAGAGAAATCTTTGCAAGCTGACTGCGTAAACACAGAGGAGGGAGGGGGAAGATACATCCTGTGTCCCTAGAAATCCTCAGGGGCCACTGCCATCCATCCCAGAATGTGCATGGCTGGTTTGTTCGGGGAGCTAAAAATACTGCCCACCCCACCAAAATAAGAGTGATTTCTGCAAATTGTTATGCACCCATTGATTTCTGTGACAAGTATTTCCCAGAAGACAAACAAAACCAGACCTTGTGCTCAGCCATCCAGTGATCTAATAACCAAGGAATTATAAATTAAAATGGCAACCTGGAGAAAGAGTGCCTTGGAGAACAGCACAGAGTCAGGTCCCCAAAGTGCCAGACTAGGCATTGCTTATGGTCATTGTTCATTTAAATATTTTTAAAATTAAAGTAAAGTAAGTTTATTTCATCTAGAACCCCAATTTCCAGGCTTTTTGCCCTGGAAAACTGAAAGAACTGACAGCACTTCATCAATATTCTTGCACAGCACAGATTAGCTGGCAGCCTCTTCTTCTCATTACAATTCTCGCCTGGTTCATTTCATTCGTTCAAGTTTGCAACCCCTGCTGTGTGTGCTGACTCCTCTCTTACAAGTTGATAGTTCCAGCGTTCTGTTGAAACCGCCCGCGTGCGAGGGGCTGGTGCTGTGGCGCAGCAGGTTAACGCCCTGGCCTGAAGGGCAGGCATCCCATGTGGGCTCCGGTTCATGTCCCGACTGCTCTACTTCTGATCCAGCCCTCTGCTATGGCCTGGGAAAGCAGTAGAAAATGGCCCGAGTCCTTGGGCCCCTGGGCTTGCACAGGAGGCCCAGAAGAAGCTCCTAGCACCTGGCTTCAGATCAGCACAGCTGCAGCCATTACAGCCAATAGGGGAGCGAACCAACAGATGGAAGACCTGCCTCTCCCTCTCCCCACAAAGACAAATGCTCACTTTGCTCCTACCCCTCTCTTTCTTTGATACCAGGAATGGAGCTCAAGAAGGAAAAGAGAGCATCCTTGTAGGTGTTCCCTGATACGTCATGCCCTCA